AGCATAACAGCAAAACAAGCAGTAGCAATGACCGAATCATCAGAGTAAACATGACACTGATGGTGATAACAAAAACACCGTTCCTGAACAAAGATGCAGTCATTGTGTCATTGGTCATATGGTTACCCATGACAGACAGACCGCGACTTTCATCACTTACAGATTGAAAGCTTTAACACCCTGAAACTTTCAACCCTATAACATCCTGAGCGAATCACCTTAAACCCTAAACCCTAAACCCTAAATCCTACCAGGAAACACTCATTGCTTCTCAACAGTCGTCGATTCAGTGAACTAACTCTGAGCTCCGACAACCCGACCCCGAAACCCTACCTGGATTTAGGGTTTAGGGTCTAGGGTTTAGGGTTTAGGGTTTAGGGCTCCGACAACCCGACCCCGGGAGGATCATGGGACTTAGTAACTACGGGTTAGACGCACCCTAATTTGGGGTTGTTATACGTGATCACATAAAGTAAATCGGGTTACCCTGGTCATAGCCCTGTCACCAATGAAGCCCCATGATCCTCCCAGTAAACCTCTAAGCCTTAAGCCTTAAACCCTCAACACTTACTGCCCTACTCAACGGAACCCCCAGACCCGCAGATATCGGCAGTTTGCAGAAGAGAACCAGAGTGCGGCACTATTCCAAAACACGGCGCCCAGCCCGAGTCAATCCGTAGACATCTACGTGACTATGGGAGTGGTTTGGGGCTTTAGGGTTTAGGGTATGATCCTTTATTAAATTCTGCGGGGCTTCTTACAGTGATCTAGAAGAACTATTCCTTGACTTTGATGACAGAGGACATCTTTTAATTCTTCAAGTTTCAGGGTTTAGGGGTTAGGTTCAGGGCTGCAGGGTTTGGGCATTTAGGGGTTTAGGGTTCAGGGGTTTGGGGTCTAGGGGTTCATGATGGTGCAAGGTTTTGAGTTTAGGGCCGGTCAAGGCTTAAGGGTATAGTTAACGGTTTAGGGTTTAGGGTTTGGGGTTTAGGGTTTAGTCGTAATCGTACTGTTACTATGGCATCACTTCGAGTAGCAGGGCTGTGTCAATCCCGTTTTTGTTGCCCAACTGGGTGGGGCCGTGCTAGGACAGGAACTGTTGCCCAAATGCAAGAGCTGTGCGATACCATTAAGGATTGTAATAGAGCAAATACTCGCAGCCATGTTCGCTAGGTCTTTTTTATGCAAGGCGCTGACAGTGGAGTCTTTGTTGCGCAGCAGCCGCAACCATCGGCACACTTTGTCAACCCTAAACCCTAAACCCTAAACCCTAGACCCTAACAGATTTCGTTACGGTATCTGGGCCTGGTTCTTTGCCTGTAGCCTGGGAGGAATGGCTGGTTCTAACTTCGACGACCGTCTGTGGGCCTCAACACCCAGAGACTCCAATACCTTTTAATTAAGGAATATACCTTAAATCTTATTAGGGATCCTACTATAATTTAAGGTATATTCCTTAATTAAGGGGTATTGGAGTCTCTGGGAGCCTGTGGCCTTCGCCCAGAGAGGGATCTGGTCTGAGAAGCCCAGCGCAAGCTTTGGCCGGGCTTGGACGAAGTCTGCGACGTCTGCCACTCTGTTTGACTCTGAAAGAGTCTCGGCTCAGGCGAGAGTCGCAAGCCACAGAAAGTGGTCAAACTCCATGTGGGAGTTTCCGAAAGCAAGGGGTACCTAATTTGGGGTCCTTATGATAAGGATCCTACTATTTAGGGTACTATATTAGGGTCCCCCATTTCGGAAACCCCCATGTCAGCTGGCGTCGGGACTTTACTTTATATTCTGATCTTGACAAACACGCATTGGATACTGTAGTGCTTCTCACCATGACCTAACCTCTAGAAATAGTGGTTGCATTATGTAGGGCTTCTCGCTGTGATCCAACAGGAAGGTTCTTTGAACTACCTAGTGGACCACACTCTTGTCCTTGGGGACCGGACCGAATGACCCATATAAGTAGGGTTCTATAAACTTATACGATGAGGTCCTACATGGTATATGAGCCTTAAGGCCTTTTGGGGCTCATTTCGTCCTCAGGGGTTTCGAACTAACGACGACATTTTCACTTGAGGGTAAGTTGGGCTCGCGGTGGCGAGGCCGTAAGTCTCCGTGGAGCCCGAAACCCCACTCGCAAAACACGAAGACTTGTGGGCTTTCGGGCCTAGGGTTTAGGGTTTAGGGTTTAGGGTTTACGGTTTAGGGTAAACTTGTCCGAAACCCTACACCCTCAAAAGCCCCAAAGCCCGAGAATTGCCCGAGGCACACAGAGGTCAATTTCGACCTCGGAACGACAGGGAGGTTATGGATTGAGTCTTGTCGGGTTCCCTTTCTCCAATGGCCTGTGAGGCGTTGCATGGGCTTCTGGAGCTTGTCAAGTTTCAATAACCAAAGGGAAGAGGCTTGGGGTGATTGAAGAAAGACCTGAATCGGATCTCTCTGGCCGTCGCTAGGCCGTTAGGCGTCGACGCTGCATGCATAATAAATACTGGAAAACTCCAAAAAGTAGATTTTTCAGAACCCTACTTGGGTAGCTCTCTAAATTAGGGTCCGTTTGTAGGTCACCAAGTAATACGGCACCCCAGATTCCTGACCTTAAAAGGACCCTAATTTAGAGAACTACACATTCGGGCGTCACAGTGCCCGAGCTGAGGTGTGGGAAGTCTCGGCTTTCGGGTTTAGGGCCTGACAAGGCTGAAGGTTTAGGGTTTAGGGTTTAGGGTTTAGGGTTTAGGGTTTAGGGTTGGTTTAGGGCTCACGGATTATTAGGTCTGCGGATATTGTTTGAAAACGGCCCTCTGGGAAGAAACTTTGTCCAGTTCAGGGTTTCGGGTTTCGCGGACGTCGCAACATTGAGCTCATTAAACATTGTCGACCAGCTTGGTACTGCCATGCCGGCACGGTCGGTCCTGGTGCCACCCTGTGCCGGGTTTAGCTGGGTTCTTGTTAAGGGATTTAATTTAAGCTACCATAATAGGGATCTATAGTAAATAATATGGTTTCCTTATTATGGTAGCTTAAATCAAATCCCTTAACAAGAACCCACTTAGGGTTTAAGGCTTAGGGCTCCAAGCTTGTATGTCCGCATCATATACGTCTCTGAAGAGCTACCAATAGTGGTCCTGGGGTTCCTTATTATATTCGTCTTATCATGTACTCCGAAACCTGGTCTAATTACTACCGTCCCGTTATTAAAGGTATGGGGTAGTTCTCCAAATTAAGATCCTTTTTCGGGTGTTTTTTTTTATCAGGGTGGTACTATACTGGGGACTCAAAATTTCCGGAAGGAACCCTACTTTGGAGAACTACACAAATAAAACCTGGTTCCAGGCCGGAACTCTACCGCTGCGTTTTTGTGCTTCGCCAGCTGCGCCTCCTCGACGATGTCATGCTT